AGGAGAAAATTTGTAACTGCTTTGTCGAATAAATCGGCACTGTAGTTTTCGTTAATATCATTGTGTTTCAAAAGCAAATAATACACAATGACATTATTATACATAAGTAATAACTCTAAATGATATCATTATTTGATACAATGAGTTATTTAGAAATAATACCACGAAGCTTATGGATTTGTTGGCTGCCTCGCTATCCAATATATCATTTCAAATTGATTTGTGTTTGTTTTATATATTGTCCAGTGAGGTCGATATTTGTTCAAATTAAATTGAATTTTCAATTTTTGTCGAATGAAACTAAGTTCTGAATACAAACTATTGTTTTCAATAGAGAGATATTTCGAATAGTATTAAATTACATTAATAAAATTTTATATTATAAATGAATTGAATTTTTGGCTTTGGAATTTTTGAATTTAAAGCTGTTTTAAGTATTTAAATAATTAAAAAATATTTCTATATAAATACAACAATCACATTTTTTTCTTAAACCTTTTTACAACAATTTTTATCTTGAAGGCTTGTTAAATAAATATCCTACATATGCATGTGAATTTTATATCTTACACCATCATATGAATTGTATCTATTTTAGAAAAAGAGCACGTAAAAAATAATGATTCAGTTTTGTAGACGGCTTAATAGCTTTAATTATTAACCGCAGCACAACTCCGAAGTAATTTCACACTTGATGCTCTTCGTATAAAACTTAAAAGTTTATAGTTTACAATTTATTTAGTTTTGGGTTTTATTTATTTATTTTAAACTCAGGATACAATTTCGCGAAACACATGTCCAAAGTTTTTTTTTTAACAACTTAAAAGATTTATCTTTAGGACAAATTTTTTACATGTTACGATTTGTAAAGTATCTTTAAATGAAGTATTTAAGTGCATAAATTATACAAAATGAAAAGAGAAGAATTAAAAAAATCCACGAAAAAAGTTGAGTTACGCACCCCTGGGATGACTTTAAGCCAAAGTTATGAGATTTTGTCTATTTTTTCTTTGAATAAATTTTTTTTGCTTTTATGAATACATTTTTTCTTAATATTTTATTTTCTGGTTCACAACATTTATCACAATTAACAAGGCTAAATTACCGGTTAAAAAGCAAAGTTACCTTAACTTTTTTTTTTTTAATTGGCATTATTGCCACTGTTACTCCTCCCGTCAGTCGTTCATAGAGTCAAGTGGGATTGTATGGCTTTCACAGACCTTGCCACAAGTGCCAAAAATTGTAGTCACACTCTTGTCAAATTGTGGTTGAACTAATAAAAATGAAGAGAGAGAAAAAAAATAAATGTTCCACATATAATATTAAAATCCAGTATTCTTCATTGACACCGCCATCACAGTGACCAACAACTACAACAAAGGCAGTACTCCGAATAGCAGCAACTCCAACTCGAGGTTTGGCGTGATATTCAGCTTTATTAACAGCAACGTTGACAATGTTTTCCGAGCAGATTGGATTGGATTGGAATGGAGTGTAGAATATCGTAGTTGTGTGTGCCCTGGCGCGCGTGTCTCACCTGAGATATTTTAACCAAATTTGAGTTCTGTTAATTTTTTTCTTTGTGGTACTTTGGTTTCAAAAAGTTACGTCTGTTCAGTTAAAAAATTCTTATAAAATATGCAACAACAGTTATAATAAAAAATGCTATGCTTTTTATTTGTTTTATTTTAACAGTTTTATTTGACATTTAAACAATGAATTTTATTTTTATTGTTTTAAGGTGAATTTGGAATTTTAAGTCTGAACTTGTGTTCCGACAGTGTAGGCTATAATTTAATGTATTGTCGTCAGTTAATGTCAATATAATTTAAGAACCTCCTTAGACATTCAATAAGCAGAGATTTACATTTGTGAAAGAATTTTTTATTAATTGCTCAGATTTAAAATAAAATAATTACCTCACATTAAGGATTATAAATTGGAAGTAGTTTTTGTATTTACACTTCTTTTTTCTAGGTATATATGTATACGGATTCAGTCACATATGTGCTGTTAGAATGCTCTGCATTAACGCACAAACGGAATAGACTCCTGGGAATGTATACCCTTACGGAAAAGGCTTAGAGACCAACTCTAAACCCAGAAAGGGGCACAATAGACCCGAAGGTCGCAGTGCCACATCCCTTAATAAAAATAATAATAATATAACATTTAAATATATTTCAAATTAAATTTTAGTTACATTTCAACTATGAACTTATTATTATTTATTATTAAAGTTTTGATGTGATATCGCTCAACATCCGGTACTACGGCCAGAAGAGAAGTTCTATGGTACCAATTTCACTCTTAATTACACAAAACACTTTAAAACTTTGTGAACAAAGTCCAGCACCAAATCTAGAGAAGAACTCTTCATCTGTTCTGGTGACGGAAATTCCATATAAAATAAGTTTCTTATGTACATTGTTAAAGCTGGACAGTCATAAGGAATATGCATAGTAGTTTCCTCATCTTCGAGGCATAATTTGCATTCCGCATTAGCAGATAATCGTAGTTTATTTCAAACCATAATGACAGTAATGAAACCTGTTATTAAACTTAAGCAACCATTTGAGAATTTAAGAAAGTTCTTGCAGTAGTACGTATTGATCAGTGCTTTGCTTTGTCTAAGTACTGGGAAGTCTTTCCAGTACACCAGCCGCATATGATTGTCCCTCTGCTTAATTATTTGTTTTGTACTGGTTCAGTTTTTGATACAGTTCTGGCTAAGTGTATAGACACTAAATGTCTAAAGTAAATCTTAGGTTAATGTTCGATCGAAGACAGAAGAGAAGACATTGTTTGGAACCAAATTGGGAACTAAATATTATATATTTTTTTATGTTGCTCTTTTTATTTGATTGACATAATTTATTATATTATCTATATTCTTATTGTTTGACTTAGAAGTTTCGTTTACTGTTAAAATTATTTCAAAAACACTTTTATAAATCGAAAGGTAAAAATTGAATTCACTGAATGCTGTCAAGTCCAATAAATTGAATTCTAAAATTTCTCATTGCCAAAGTGCAAAATCCATGTCGGCAATAGTTTATGTAAAGTACATTACACATTAAGGACTTGAACTTATGTACTTTATAATAATAATAATATTTTTTTACACAATAAATACAACGAAAATGACAAATTAGTTAAGCAATAAAACTGGAAACTATTATTGTCGTCACAACTTTCTCTGATATAGAAAAGCCTCATAAATATCCTTTTCACAATTAACAATGATATCGCAAGCCAAAAATCCGTTGTATACCACAAATGTGTGCTTGACTGGTTCCGTCCGTCTGTCTGCCTGGTAAAGCCACCAATAATTGTACGTGTACTTGGGTGTCTCATTGGTAATAAAATAACGTTACGTACTCGTTTAATACTGACAATATGATTACGTAAAATATATTCTCAATTGACTCTACTACTCTATGGGTATGTATGCTTATGTGTGTATGGATGAATGTATGTATGGTATGAGCGTTATAATTCCTTTGGATAGTTGAGTATAAAACCAATAAAAATAAATATACAACAAATATACAATTTGGTTGTATGTTGTATGTTGATTGTTTATTTGTGGGAAAAATGAGTTTCAACTATAAAAATTGATTTGATATATTGGTGTTACTTACGACCAACAATGAAAAGTCAGTCAGTTCCATTTCCATTTCTCAGCTAAAATTTTTTTATTCAGCTTTTGCTAAATTACAGTTTGCAAAAAGTTTTGCTTTGAAATGTGTAGTTTTCAATTTGTATTTGAGTTCAAAACATGATATTTTTTGCGTGGTGTTTTCATAGATTTCTTTTTTTTAATATTATTTCTTAGGTACATTTCCGAGTACTTCAGGGGATATTTAAGTAGTGTAAGCAATTATTCATTTTTAAAAGTTTATTACTATATTTGAGAAGTTTATTGCATACGAGTGTATACGATTGGTTTAAAGAAATGTTGAAGATAATTTTTAGATATTACGCTTCGAGAATATTATGACATGTAATTTCTTATAATGATTGTTTCTAAAGAAATTGGCATTATAATTTTAAAATTTGATGAATTTGTATTCGGTTATAAGATAGTTAAAACTAGCATAGTCTTAACAACTATAGGCAAACAATTGAAATGGTATAGAGAATAATTTAAAGAAACCCTTAATCCATCAACCTACTTAAGTTTATCGAAATCATAACCTGTAAGAAGCCACGTAATGTGAACAAACTGAAATTTATAAACTCATTCACAAATTCTGTCTTGATAAAAGACATGATTTCTTGATTTCTTGATAAAATCATTTTAAATCTAGTAATTGAATTCAATTTTGGGAGAGAGTGTAAAGAGCAAGCTGAGTTTCATCGAAACCGAACTACATAAACTGTTCAGGACTCCCAAATCCTCAGCAAGACGAGTAATATCAAACTGACCTTTATAAAGTTATGTTATATGTGGAGCATATTTTTTAACCCAAAATAAAAATTTATGTCTAAAATATCTGGGTAAAAATAATACTATTCTATAGTCCGGTAACGTATTTGGTCAATTTAAAATCAAATTCAAGAATGGAGATTCTTAGTAAACGATTTATATTCGTTATATAATATGGCTACATATATCAGAATTAATATATCTTAACCTATATCCGAAATTTTTCAAATACATGTCCTTCGCAACTTTAGGGTTGATTGTCATGAGCATCAAAATCATTCATTTAAGTCATTGAATTATCACTGATGGATTATTATCATTGACATATATCTATTATATATATAATTATTTATAAATATAATTATTTAATTATATAATTAAATGATTAAATGACATTAATTAATGATAACGATAAATAAAAAAATCGATTCTTTGAAAATTCTAACTAGATATAACTCCTTAAGATCCTCACAGGTAGGGTTGTTAACGAATTCGGTGCTAGAGCATTTGAGTGGTCGCCTATCGACTGGGCGTATATTATATTTTTGTGAGTGTATATTCAGATCTATCATCTATGTTTTCGATGTACCATGGTGCGTAGGCCAGTATTTTCAGTATCTTCGATTTCAATTAATGATTGGTTTTCCTTAAAGATTTTAAAATTTAATTTATGCTTAAATAATATAAAAAGTAAATTTTAAATTATTAATAAAGAATACTACTACTAAATACTGCTACTACGAGTAAATACTGCTACTAATATAAATAGTGAATAAAATAACATTTTTTTTGAGTATATTTGATATAATCTTAAAGTTACCTGTTCTCGAATGTGATGAATGAAGATTGATATTATTATAATTTCTTCTCATTGTCGCACTCGTTGTAGACATTCTTTTATATCATAAATCATTTTTGTTTTTCCATAAACATATGACTTATGACTTCACAAGATATTTAAATCTTTTCTTATTTTTTACAACTTTTATTGCCCCTTCTGCTCTGTCCTTGGTATTGGTACTTTTCACTTCCATCAAATAATGTGCAATTCACAGCAGTTACAATTTAAGGTCAATTATTCATTTTATATGCATAATGACACTTTGTGCAACAAATTTTGCCAATAAAGTGAAGAATCCTTTCAGTACACACTAAAAAGGTTTCCACACGTCTCGTTAAGCACATCTCATTGAGTGTCGCTTCAGATCTCAAGTGGAACATAAGAATTCTTAATAATTTCCCTTTTGAGTTTCTCTAAAGGAAAAATCTGTAAAAACGTAAATATTTTCTAAGTTTTTAACCTTTTAACTTCAAAATTCTTACACACAATTTAATTTCGCTGAAATCATTAAACTTTAAGTATCCTTAATATAAAAACAATATCCTTCAAATGAATTTGTTTTTGCTTTTATATACATATATATATTTTTAAATAATAGCTTTTGGTTTGTATTTAAATTTTTAGATGGGGAACCTATCAAACTCCCAGACAATTTGGAAAGCTTGCCAAGAGCTGACAGTTTCCCGTCACAGCGGCATCGTTGGAATACAAATGAGGTCAGTTTATTTATATTTATTTAAAAACAAAAATAACGAATAAACTTGAAAGCAAAAAACTTATGCAAAATTCCAAATAAACTAAAATCAAATAAAATAAAATTCGAAACATAAACAAACTATGTAGTAAACGTTAAAATTCATCACTTTACATATAAAAAACTAACGCGACGGAGTTTTGGTGCCATTACTACGAGCACTTTTTCTTCTTCCATTCAACCTGCAGCGGTTTGATTCGGATTTGTTTTCTTTGAGGTCCTTTCGACTGGGGGTACTTACGACTTTTATGTTGCATAAAATAAATATCATTTTTAAGTACTCGCTACGACTAAAACAACAACAACAACAATGGGAATATCAACAACATTAATATACTCGTTGCATTCGTAGATCCGTATAAAGACATCATCAGTATTGGAGTGACAAGTTGTCACTTTTAAACGCGATGTGGTACCATTTGACATTAAACTGATTTTATAGAGTATTTTTTTGTGACGCTAACACTTTTTAGTGAATAATTTATTTCGTATTTATGGAGATTTAATGTTTATATTTTAAATTGTAGTGAAGTACTGTAATAGTTAGAAAGATGGGATTCTTTTCCCAAGGTATTTTTAATATTTAAAATTTTTAAACAAAATAATTTTATTATTGAAAATATTTTTTATCAGTTTAAATTGTTTATTAATAAACCAAAATTTTAGGATCTGTTAATTAAAAATAAAAGCAAAACTTCAAACCGGAACTGAAACGGTGTGATATATATTCCAGAATTCTGTTATATATATTCCAGAATGATACGATAGATAGTAATGAAAACATAAATATTTCATAATGTTGATTGTTTTTGTCGAATGTGACGCGTCTTATGACGAAAAGAAATTTAGAAGAGTTCAAATTTGTGCGCTCCACTTACTACTCAGACACTTGTAAGATAAATGTTTATCTAAATCTGTTTTTACTATATATAATTTATTTTAGATATAAAAATTCATATACTTGTGTAGTAGAACTTCGCTCTATGATAAAGTGTATAAATAAATAACAAATAAAGCAAATAAAATAAACATGCATATACGCACAAAACCCATAAATATGATTTATTCTTCTAGATTATTGAGCAGACATATTCTTAACATATGATCCGGATTAACGCTTCTATGGTCAATCAGGAGTCTAGGGTATATTTTCTAATTTTATCCGAATGACGAGAAAATCCGAACTACCAAAGATTCAGATTACCGGAGATATACAGTATATTGTCAATATATTACGTGTAATTTTATTAAGTTTATATATACCATATATAAATTTACTAAGAAAAAAACACGAGTTTACATGAGCAGAGCTCGATCAGAAATGACTTCGATTTTTTTTTGGCATAAATCATTTTATCATCTTTTTGCGGATGTCCAGTTCTGTTTGTTCTTTAATCTTCTCAACTCTGCTGTTTTATCTTACTCGGTAGTGGATTGTTTAAAGGATTCTTATATGGGTGAACTCTTATTTGTTTGGACTCTTATATACTTGGATTCTTATATGCTTAGACTTTTATATGCTTGGACTCTCATATTTCGCAATTATTTTTCGACGCTTTAAAATCACGGCATATTTTGAAAACTCTGGATCTTATAATTAAAATATATTCTAGAAGTGACTGTTACGTTAAGTTTACGGTTGTTTTTATTATTTTCTGTGTGTCGTCTAACGAAATCGCTGCAATTTAGCAGATCTCACAATATCTAGCCATTACTTACCTTGAGTAATACGGCGTTTACATTGGCCGAAAATGGCTCATTTTGAATGACTCATTTGAAAGTGTTTACATTCGTTGTATTTCATTCGTTCTCATGGTAACAATTCAAACTGAAATAAAACTACTAAACATTTGTTTATCTTTTTTTGAAAATATGTCAAAACAGCTTTTACAAACTGTCAAAATGCCATGAAGAGCTTTTATTTAGGGTATGTTCAATAGATTCCTTTGCATTTGGAACATATGTGGAATGCATTCGAACGTCATTCATACAGAATGTGAGAAAATTGCTCATTTTGTGCTTGAAATTTTATATGCAAGAATGAGCCATTCGATACTCATTTTCGATTTTTGACCAAAATGAGCCATTTTCGGCCAAT